TGAAATTATGAATGAAGTGGAAAAATTGTTGTCATTTGTCAGTGTAGTAACAGGCTTCCATGATTGGTTCCCATCTTTTATTTTTCTGCAGAACAGCATATATCTCACTTGTTGCACACCACAGTACAATGTAACAGGTACTTCTGGTTTGCTTGATCTGTGATTCACTGATCAGCAACATCTGCTTCATGGCTATGGAGTGCAGGAAGGACCATCTTGCTGTGCTCTAGGCTTGTTGGGAGCTTTGTGTTTTTCTGTGGTTTTTTTGGCTGAGGTAGTAACTTGAGAGAACTACTGATACATACACAAATGCTAAATTATAGTAAGTTAACAGAAGAAAGAGATACTGTGGAGAAAAAAGGAGGCTATAGATTCTCTGATTGTTCTTGTGGGCATCTTGTATGAATCAGTGAGGAATGCCTAAGCAGGAAAAGTGGTGTTCTCAGAGATGACACATTTCAATACTCACAGAAAAGGGAAGTAATATTTAATGTCTGGTCAGCTTTACAGTTTGAAAGAAACACTACATCAGAAGCTGTTCTATGGCACGATCCAAGATGGTCTGTCTCTGAAAATCAGTTCTGTTGCTTTTCGTATCATGTCCAGGGGTAAAGCAATTTTCAGACAGGATTAGAAACTTCTAAGTGTGAGATATAACTTAATGAAGCAGGGTTGGATATGGTTTGTTTGTTTCTTTGAGTTTTCAGATCTTTTGGTTTAAGTGTGAAGTAAGTGTTACACCTGTTGTGCACTGTCCCTCTTTGATTCCTATATCGTAGTAGACTGTTCCTGACATGACTTTGGAGCCTTTAGGAATCTGTTTTTTAAATTCATTTCCTCTTAACCCAAGGGGCTAGGAACTTGCATTAAAACACTGTTCTTTGTCTGTCTTTTGATTTATTTGTTCATTTATCCCAACAGAATTTCGCACACTTTGCCTAGAGTAATCCTGAAGAATAACAACTTGCACATGCAAACATGGACAACAGAAGGTGACATGGTGTTTCAACAGTATTACTGTGTTAGGAAAATACTTTGATTACTACATGAAACAGATTTTCTTTGAGAAGCATTAGGGTAACTCAGTACGTTTTTCCAGATAGTCATCTTCATTTGACTCACTCCTGTGTGAAGTTTTACAGAAACTTTAGTCTGTCCTACAAATTGTTTACCTCTAAGATACAATAAGCCTTAGGTTACCAAAGAAGTCATCGTCCTGACTGGGAAGGGATAATAAAATGATTTAGTCTCTGTTTACAGAAAAGTTACTAAAACAAGCGCAGTTGAACTTCAGTGCAGAATTGAAAGTTCTTAGAGAATCCCTGTTGGTTTGATTTCAGTGTAATTTTGTGAAGAACTCTAGAGTGTAGGAAGACGCATAATTAAAGGTTGCATAATGTGAGATATTTAAGCAAATGAAGCAGACTTGCATTTCCACTAGCATATGTGCATGATTTGGGAAGCTCTGTCGCTGTCTTGGTTCAAGTTAATATAAGCCTTTCTCAAGTTGGCTCACACTGGTGCTGGTTAGGTTACAAGTGAATGAAGTTATCAATGTGAGCCCACAGTTTCTATTGTATGTTATAAATCAGGTTTAGACTGCTGTAATTCTTATGCATTCATTTTGTGTTTAGCCATAGCGTAATCTGCAGTATTTTCCCAGTTTAAGACAACAGAGATGTCTTGGTCTGCTGAACTTGTAGACAGCTCACACTGACGTATTTGGTTCTAACTTAAGAGGAAGTGCAATTCTATCATGATAGATATGATAATTATTTTTCCTAACCTTGATCTGTTCTGAGTATGGGAAACACTACTTACTTACTTCTGTTTTTCAAAAATAGATGTTCCTACTTTAAAAACTGAAGGAAGAAATTTTTCCTTTTAAAAGTTGGAGTTGGGGATATTGTTTTCATTAGTTATCTGTCCCTCCAGATTGCTGGCATGTGATGTGCTGAAAGATTTTTACTTGCATTGCCAGCAGCAGTCTGTAAGTTTACTGCCTTGTAGGTTGACATAAATACAACAACAAAAAAAATCACTTTGTCTGTGGGGATGTAGAGATGTGTGATGTTCATCCTGGATCACATCAGTGGGCTGCAGCTGTTCTTAGCCCATATGAAGTTTTCCATCTCTCTAATTTTTTTTTGTAGCTGACTTGATGTTTTGGGAACTCTTCAATAAAGTCATTCTCTTGGGGTAAAACAAGATAATACATCATGCTAGAAACTGCCCATTGTCTTTTTGATGCCGACTGAGGAATTAGTTAAATTCTGAAGTGGTAACATCTGTTTTTATTACTACTTAGAGATGCATAATCTTGCTCTTATTTTTGTTTCTCATTTGGTTGATTCAACTCCAAGCCCCATGCTTCTCACCTTAAATTGAGTGTAAATCTTATCTGTAAAGGTGTTAACAAATGTTGATTGAGAAAAAGTCAACTTGCTAGCTTTTTACTGGAATATATCCTTATTTAGCTTCTTTCTTTACAGCTAAGCTTCATAATAATATGTTTTATTCATTAAAAAAAAAAAAAAAAAAAGCTGTGTTGTCATCTACGGGCAAAATACATCAAACAGCTTTTGCATGTTCTTGATGCATTAACTTGCCTTCAATAAATATGAGAAAACTCTCAGTTGTGTTGTGGACAAAAGTTTACCAGGGGCAATGAACTGACAGACTCTCCATTAAGTGGTGTGGAAGACACTGTTGTGTGATCCTCTTGAAGAAAATATCCTAGCCAGGACACTTTTCTCAATAACTAGAGAGTTTGGCAGTCTCTGAAAACGTTTTCCTCTTGTGCTCTCAAGAATTGTCTGCCTTTGCTATGTAATTGCTATAGTATTTTAGCTCTTTCATTTTGCTCTAAATTTATAACTGCCTTATACTTAATCTGTTTGCTATACAAAGAATTTTTGGTCTTTCTGTAGTGCCAGTTTCATGTAGATTCAATGCCAGAGTACCCCACTTCAAACAGTTCAATGTAATTTAATTCTGTTGACTAGGAGACACTGCCCATTTGAAGGAGGGCATAATTGAAGTCTAAGGTGGGAATGTGATGATGGAAAATGCAAGATTTTGGGATGTGTAGCCAAAATTTTTCTGCAGTCTGATCTCTGTGCTTTTTCAATGACTTCTAATGCTCCAGATAATAAATAAATCTAATAAAGCTCCAGAAGGGCCTTTTTGGTTCTTTTTTTTTTAATCATGGAAATGTTGAGGGAGTGAAAGAATCTTTTTTTGTCTTTTTTTTCTTGATATTTTAGCAGTTTTGAGGAACTCCTTCTGCCCTTTAGGGGAAGGATATAATTAAGTGCCAAGTTACCAGGAAGATTCCTAGAGAAGATTGCTGTGTTAACTGGGTCATAGAAGCACTGGCAAGAACAAGAAGCCAGTGGGAGCTCCAAGAGTCAGTGCTAAACCTGTCTGTGAGTGTTTATGCATTGGTGTGTCCAAAGCCATCAGTACTCCACACTCAGAACATTGGGAAGCACAGAGATGAGGCACGCAGCTGGCTGCAGAATAGGCAGCTTGGATTGGATTTATTTGTTCTTTCTTTGTGCCAGATATAGGCTGTCTTCATCCAGACTCGCTTAGTTTCCTCTGTTCAGGGCTTGTTCATGCTTCCAGTAAAGCAAAGGGTACCCATGGAGACTGAGCTGCTTTTGTCTTGAGCCAGCCTAGGTCCAATACATCACCAGCTCTGACTCTGTGCTATGTGAAAGAAATAAGGTGACTTCCAGCCATAGATTGTCTCTGGGAACTGTGTAGTGCATCTGTGTAGCTCTACACCTGAGCTAGTATGACCAACTAGATTAGAGCTGTGTTGTTTTTTTGTTTGTTTTTTTTTATGGAGACAGATCGTGCTTGCATCCTTGTGGTTACTGAGGAATTGGCTAGAAACATATAGTGATAATTGGGAATTGACTGTATTTGACTTCTGCGTATTCTGCTTCGCATGTTCTGCTACCTAAACTGGCTTTCGGTCATAATATACTTTGATATTGCACATCTGATCAAACTGCAGTCACCTCATTATAGTTTATTAAAACCGTTGTCATATCACAGCAGGTAGTTTTTTTTCTCACTGGATTGTGTGTTTGATTTTAACTGGCACTTGGCACTAGCTGCTTCATCTACTGTCTTGCCACTGAGGAAACGTGAGTGGGAAGCACAGCAGTAGAATGACTTCTGCCTGTATCTTGAAGGTATCACCAATGCGTTTCCACATCCAGGAAGACTTTTATCTAATAAACATTCACTGTACCAATTGAGCATTGACAGCAGCTCTCTGTCCTGAAGAATGTTGCTGGAATGGCAAATAGCACAGCAGGAAAACAGCAGACATGAAAGTGCTCCTACATAGTAGCACTAATGGCTGAGTAGTTTTCCTCATGGGCAAGTTTCATTTTTCAGTTCCTTTAAGATAAGCCTTTGAAAATGTTACAAATTTTTACTAATATTCAAATGAGGAGATACACTGACAAAATAACACGCTGTATATAGATTCACTTATTCCTTTGCTGACAGAAGACTGAATCAGATGGACTGGAACATGCAAAGGAGTTGTTGTGGCATTCACTAAGGATGTTCTTGATTTAAAGATGTCATTTTTACAAGATTAATCCTTTAAAAATATTTATTGCACACACCCAAGGATCATTCCTGTGAGAATGACTAGTGAGTGGGTTGACAGAGGTTGCAGGATCCGGATGAAGATGACAACCCAGAGGCAGTTTTATTGTTTCTTCTCTGTGAATTTAACCTTTTTTTGGTTTGTGTCTTTGTGCAGTAGAAACTTCAGGAAAGCTGCAGGGGAAACTGCTGGTGTAATTGAACTTTCTGGTGACTCAGTATCATTCTCTTAAAAAATAATAACAAAATTGCAGATACCTGTCATATGCACCTTTTATTTTTTCGCTTGTGATGTTGTATAATGATAGAGTATTTTCATAGTACAACCTATATTTTGACTATTCCTAAACTTTATATTTGCCTAGGTTGTGGAGAGCACCTTGTCCGAACCATACTGGCCAGAGAATGTTCATGTGCTTTGCAAACAGAAGATGCCCACCAAGCTCTCCTAGAGACTATGCAAAACAAGTTTATTGGTAAGTATCTGGTACTAATTGCCCAAGCATTTCACAACATTGCTCAAAATGCAATTAACCCTATTAAATAAAGGTAGCATGCTTATTTTTGTGATTTCTCTTGAAACCTTATGTGGTTGGCTTCAGATTTAGCATTGTGTTACGTTTTAACAATGTTAAATCGAAGTACGGAAGAATATCTTAGGAAACCTAAAGGAAAGCCCTTGGAAATTTTTCAATTGATATGAGTCAGAGAATAACCGGAGAGGTTTGAAAGAAGAATTTCCTGTCTGAATCATTGGCTGTGGTGTGCAATTGCATGCTTCAGAGGTGGTTCAGCAGCGTTAATAAAAATTGTTCATCATGTTAACCCTTTTAAATATAGCAGACCTCAAAACCCCTGCAGGGTCTAATTGAATAGACAGATTCTGGTTTGTGATTTACATTATGAAATTGACTTCATAATTTTCATTCTGACAGTGTTATGTTTGACTATTAGAGACAGAGCTGTCTTCACACTAGAAGGCTGTGCTTAACAGTCTGCTGCTGTACTGCAGTCATTTTTAGGTGCTGTGAAAATGCAGAATTTTAGTATTTTTTTCCAAATATATTATAATTGAAGTAGCACAAATCTAACTTTTTAATTTGATCACTTATTCCACTGCAGGAAATCAGGAATCTATCAGCACAGAATATCAGGAATTTATGACTAAGAGGTCTTCAGAAATGAGACCTGATAGTGTCACCAATTAGTGACTCTGCAGGTACTATATGCAAGTGACCCGCCTTCAGGAGAACCAGGTTTTTGGTCTCCATACTCTCTAAACTTGCTGTGCTGTTGTATCAAACCAGAATGAAACATGCATCTAGAATATCCTAATTTCCTTTCATTTTAACAAACACAGACATGTGAGTACTAACAACAGCTACTAATAAAATACTTCTTAATAGCATTCCATAGAAATTGGCTGATAAAAGATGGAGAAGTTCGAGAACTGTTTAGTCAAGGTTCTTTTTTCAAGTTGCTATGAGTCTTTTTTTCTCCCTTTGAATGTATTTTGAATATAGTTTGCATCAGTTTGCTTAGCACATGTTTTCATTTTAAATGCGAACTGGCTGTTACGTGATATATGAATTATTTTCTTTGATGAAAATATTTATACTGGACTTAAGAACATATTGAATGTTGCTTAGCTTTTTTGCTATACCTGAAACTATCAATTACAGAGAAAGAGGAGCTGGACAGACAGAGATACTGGGCTAACAGTGCAATATCGTGTAGCCTTGGGAAAACAGACTTAAAACAACAAAACAAGAAGTTGTGGGAAGTGACAAGTGGGAGAGGCAGGATCAAATTCATGCTTTACGTGGTAGGCAAGCTTGAGGAAAAGTGTTTTATAATTCCTCTTTGTGATTTCTTATGCTAGTTAACTATGGGTCTTATTTCTATTTTCAAAACTTGTCATTGCAGGATTTTGTTATCCATCGGTAGGGATATGTATTACGTTTTTCTCAGTGGTGTTTCAGGGTAGCATTGAAATGAAAAAAAGGGATTCAGCTTGAATTCTGTGTTCTGATTAGAAAAAAGAAATCTAGTTTGCCCTCAGCTGTCCTGTGAATGAAAACTGATTAAGAAGGCTTCAAAATCCATATACATTCGTTGTTTATCTGTAACATGTTTACGCGCACATTTGTAGCAAATTGGGCAATTTTGAGGGACTTTGCAGTTTTGAAAATGTAATGCAAAGTCACATCATGCTAATAGAATGCAAGAGCTGAAAAAATACTTAGCACATCAAACATTGGGTAGTAAATAGTTTGTTGTTTTGGTTTTTTTTTCCTGTCAATGTCCATAGATGTCGACGTATTATTTCTTGCCTCAAGATGTGTGGCATGATTCAGAATTACTTACCGTTCCTAAACAATAAAATGAGGTGAAACAATGTACTAGCCTGCTTGCTAATGGCATGGATTCTTTCCTTGATAGTCTTTTCTAAAGCCCTATTTTGTGGCATTGTCAAGATTTATCCAGAATTATGATGGACCAAGGCCAAAAAAAATTAATAGCTCTAACAAAGCAGAGCCGGAATGTTTTGTCAGAAGTTAGAACGTGTGTTACTTGTATTGGAGGGAGGAACAGCTGATTTTGGCAGTTGTCATCAGATTGGTGCTTCCTGTTTACAGAACTCTTCAAATCTCCACAGAGTCCTGGGAATCCTTCCAGCTAGGGAATGCCTGGCTTAAACAGTGAGTGCTGTTTAAACAGCAGGTGATGAACAAATTAATGGCAGATGTGCTTGTCTTATCCTTTCTCAGGGCCAACTTGCTATGAATGATGCTCAATTGATGGTTAGAACAGTGGTGGGAGAAATTAAATTTCAGCTGCTTCTAAGTTGAGTGGGCTTGATGTCTTCTGTAGGAGAATGCTAAAGCCGTAGAAGAATGGTGCTCTGTAAACAGAAATATCTTCCATACAGAAGAACAGAGGATTTTGTTACTCATCATTCCTTTCAAATATGGCCAAGTTTGTGGAATGTAGACTTAGAGTAAATGTTTGTGTCATCTCACTGGCGGGAAATCTAGCCTTTTAGCAATGGCAGCGTTTTGAATTCTACTTTAAAGTTTCTTATAAGGTTTTGGAAAGTAATGAGCTAAAATACATGGATGGACCCTGATATTTGTTCTTCCTTTAGAAGAAAAGTCCTAATCTATTCTTGTACTTATAAGCAGTACTTCAGTTCTCAGATGAACAGTGTCTACAGGAAGGTTATAACACCATGATGACACTGAAACTTTCCCTTTTAGAAGTCTTGTGCCAAACGCCTCCCTTGGGAGAAGGAGCTTGGACAGTTAGGAATCAGAGAGCATAGATTTCCCAATTACGAGTTTAGCTGACAGGCTGAAAAATGTTTGTGCTTAAACTGTTGCTAGAGTGGCAGCGACTGTTGTTACAGTGTTGTTATTGCTTTGTACTGAGATGCTGCATCACTCTAAGCATTGTAGTATCCTCCTGAAAGCAGAAGCAGCATGCTATGGAAGCATTAATATTCCTTCTGTCTGTGATACGGAGAAAGTTTAGAGAAAAGAATGAAGTGATCCCGAAGTTTCATGTAGCATATTTCATCCACTGCAAGGTTAAGATTTCAAGTTTGTGTGTGAAGGCAGACATGCAATTGAGCTCTGCTCAATGCTTATCTATGCAATAAAACCCTCTAAAAAAACTACCACTATGTGTTTGTGTTGCACTCAGCTTTGTCTAGATCCTGTCTGTGCTTCTTACTAAGAGCGCTGGGCTTTTTTTGGATAGCAGTATCCCCTTATATTTAACTTCTTGAAATCTTGCTTGTAAAGTTTGAAGTAGGGATGCTTTCCCTTGCAGCTTCATTAAAAATTTTAAACTGAAGTTTTAAATTCTTATTATCATAAAATATAAAATCTACGGTTTCAGACAGCTTGTGCTTGAATATTTCACAAATGACACTGCATTAAAGTAAAAGCTGGCTTAGTTTAGTGCTCATGTATTCCTCTAATCTTTATTTAAGTTGTTAGCTTGATACATAGTGTGATACATAGCGGAAGCACAGATGAGGGGCAGTGATGTAGGTGAAATATGGACCTAAGAAAATCTGAATTTCACTCATGTTGTGAAAGATGCACAAGAAGATACAGAACTGTTTAGTTGGAGGATGCTACAGCACTTAATTGGTTCCACCACTCCGCGTTCAATGTTCACAGTAAAGTTCTGAAGACTTTGAACGCTAATGTAAACAGGGAAGCTGGTCATGGTTTCTGTGCTATAGAAGACTATGAATAGCAGACATCTGATGAACAACTGGTTAGTCCTTCAGCTGGATAACTGTAAAGAAAACACTTCTTTTACTTCTAAATATCAGATCTGTGCTAGACTGCGTCTGTCTAGTAGCTTCAAATCAGGAAGCAGCACCAGGTCAGAAATGATTAGCACGTGTTGGTCATATCCTAAAAATACATTTGTATGGTTTGGACTAAGTGCTCTTCAGTTTGGAAGGTGCTTATGTGTAAAATTTCTTTGCATTGCTTCAGCCCAGTTCTGAGGCTGAAACTGGGTCTTGGTGTTCAGCTATGGTTGCTCTTCCAGAATGTGATGGAATCAGTGAGCTGCTGTGAAGATATTTGCTTCTTTTTAAGGGACTGTTATTGCAGATTGATAACATACAAAATATATAACTAAAAACATGGAAAGCACCATGTGTCAGTAATAACAGAATAGTTGAGTTTCAAAGGAGCTCTGATCTATAAAACATAATTTTGTGATTCAAGGGGGTGAGAATTAAAATATATTTTTATTCGGTTGGTTTTTACTACCCCTTTTCTCAGTGTGACCAGTAAGAGCTTGCATTATTTTCTAATGCCCTGCTACAAGTTTTGCTTTGGATTTTTCTTGCCAAAATCTTCAGTGTTACACCAGTATAAATGAAAATGGAACAGTGAATTTCATTTGCACTGATACTGCCCATGTTTTTGTAGCTTTGTGATTAGCAAGCTATGAGATCAATCATTGCAATTAAAAATATTTTTGAGTAGTAGGCGTATTTTGTTTTCACTGATTTTTTTAAATTGTTTAGCAAGATCTGTCATTCTTAAGAGTACAGAGAGAGAAAAACTCATGTAGAAACACAGAAGTCAGATCACTTTTCCCTTCTAATGTGACACAGTGATGGCTTTCACATACATGAAAGTTGCTCAGTTTCAGCTTTCACCTTTCTATTTAGAAACAATTTTTTTTTTTTTTAATACATACATACATACATACATATATATATGAAAAATGCCATTATCAACATCATTGTTGTTAATATTATTATTATTTTACAAAAGTCTGCTCTATTCATCCTGTTTCTTGAAGGCTCGGCCATAATAAAATCATTTTTAGAAGTGAATTAATGACATATGTTCATAATGTTTGAATTCACAGTGTTTTGAGAATACTCAAATTATTTCCTGTGTACACTGCATTAATTGTATTTAGAAGTGAAGTATAATACTGTATTTCTACCATTATTTTCAGAAGCTTGCTAATGGATGTACATCTTTCATTAATATATTTGAACCCCTCTTTTTAAAAAAAATTGCTTTAATTGGAAAATAAAGTACATTCTGTTTTAAAGAATGTACAACTCAGCATGTATTTGGTTTGGCTTAGATCTGATTTTAAGGGAGGAGAAGCAGTCTCTCTGAATTTACTGTTGTGTAGAACGCTGTGATGCTATTACTGTAGGCAACTGTTTTTTGCTGTCACTAGTTAGAGGTTGATGGGCCACAACTTAGCTAGTGCAGGAACGGAGACCTTCCTTGTTGCTGTTGCTTTGCTCTGAGGTGGTTCAGCTGAAATTGCTGGTGAAAGCAGCTGGAATGGGTGAGGGAGCAGCCGTGGGATTTGCTTCCACCTGTATGAGAGAGAGAATGCATCCCATCATCCTTGCTCTGTCTGCACGGTACAAACTTGCTTTTTGGAAATATGTGACCAGGATCTATTTCGGCTGCAGTGCAAGTGCTTGGTTAATTTTGCAGCTCTACACATTTTAAGTCATGCATAAATAATGCCATTGTTTTCCTATTTAAAACAATAGGAATCTCATTTCATATTACTAACCAGAAAAAGAATGCTTAGACTTGATTCAGCTAACTTCAAAACTTTTTCCAGCTTCTGATAGAATATTTTTATATCTTATGTCTTCAATTAACAGCAGAAAAGCCACTTGAAAAAGTAGACATTTCTGCTAATATTTATAAAGCAGTAAGAAAGATTGTGTGTAGCAGTTGGATTGTATCTCTCTACAGAGTACTTTGAATTGGGAAAAAATGAATAAATTATGAAAGTAACCCAAGTTTGCTTGATTTTTTTCACATGTGGCCATCTTTATATTAATTATAGAACAAAAAGAAATAGAAGTTGAGGCATGATTTTTTTTTTTCTGCTTGACAATCCATTTCTTGTTATTATAACTCCCTTAGTCCAAGAACAAATGGGTTTGCACACAAATGTAACTTCCAATTTTTATTTATTCGGTGTAGCTTTTTTTCCCTTTCTGATCACTGATACATTGTGCCATGAGTCATTTACTTTTGAAGAACTGTGTTTTTTCACATTCTATTTAAAAAATGTTACAAAGCAGAATTCCTAAGTGTTAGTATCTGATTTCAGGTACTGTAATTTGAGTCTGGAATGATGCCAGAAAAGGCAATGAAAATGTGATGTATGAACCATACATATTGGTACTCTCTGGTACTTGGAGTCTTAGAAAACAACTTCTGGTTGTTGTTGTGTAGCCAGCTTCCATGATGTATCTTCAAAGTCATGAAGCTTTGTTTGTGCCTTTGTCTGTTAGGCGTGGGGGGTCTTGAAGGTTCACATGCAGTATCCTTGATTTCAGTACACAGAATACGATTTCCTGTCAGTAATACATTTCTAAAGATTATAAATGGATAATGTCACTGAGAATTAAAATCTAAAGAGGATAGGTGCATCTGAAACTAGAGAAATGGAGCAAGTTTGGGAGATATTCTTTAGAATTAATGGAAGATTTCTATAGCCCAACAGTTGAACTTAAGTTTCTAAGATGTGCCTCCGACTGTTCTGAATCCTACATGAAAAGGTAAATTATTTGCTTTTGAACTGCCTGTGCTAAAGTGAAAAATTGTGATCTACATTAGATTGGTTTGCCAGAAAGAGAACCTTGGTACAGTTTCACTGATGTCAGGTTTGGAAGGGGGGCTTCAGTGAACTCACTGGGTCTTACAGAGCAGCCTGAGGTTGGAGTGTCTCATGGCACAGCCTGGCCATCTTTTGCACTTTCCTCTCGTGTGAGAGATATTTGATCTGACATTAATGTTAATGTGCTGAGAATTTGTGACTTGCCCTAGAATCCAGACTGAATTCTAGATTTCAAGTTTGGGATGTTCAGATTTGCAATGTCTGCAGAAAAATGTAGCAGCAACAGAAAAAGTTCATGGCATATAATTTTTCTGTAATTCAAAGTTCTGCATTGTTTCCATCTACAGATAAGAGAGAGTGTAAAGCTGCTCAGAAAGTGGTGAGCAAAGTTAATCGCTACTTAAGTTTCAGATATTCTTTCTTGCATGAATCTGGTGTTTTCTATTCTGCTTTGAATTAAATAAAGAATATTCAGGCTTTCACTCTAAGGCTGCCATGGGATCTTTGGCATTTATGTAATGCATAGGTTTTTTTGAACCATTAAACCTATGTAGAAAGTTACTCATTAAAAAAAATGAAGTTTTTGTAAAGGCAGCGGTTGGCCTCGACCATCTTTTCAATCGTTAGGGATAAGATTAAATAAACTGATTAAACAATTAACTAATGAAAGAAACTAATCCTACTGCAAATAATTATTGATCACAATTTTGTCCAGGTTCACCTTTCCTTGCCAGTGAAGATGGTGTACTTGGAGGTGTGATAGTTCTTCGGTCTTGCAGGTGTTCAGCAGAACCTGAATTATCACAGGAGAAGCCAACTTTACTAGGTAATATTTCCTTACTTATTGTTGCTTGAGGTTTGGTGCTAAATCAAGGTAAACGATTAAACAAAACTGTTGTTGAATGTTTGCTGTTGTTTAGAAGCCACAGGAATAAAAATGCATACAAATTGTTTGAGATTGTAAAACCTTAGGAAGTAAAATAATAATATATGCCTTGTTTGTCCTCGAAAATTGTGGAGAAGAGCACTCTGTCTGATCTGTTAATATAGTTGAATCCCTCTAAGACCATGGCATAGAAATAATGGTTGCTTGAGGTGGCAGGATATGCTCTGCAAACAATCTTATTTTCAGCTAGGGATAATGCATATGCTCATTTATTGCTTCCCAGTGGCTCAGTGTCAAACAGGTGATCTAAAGTTTTATTTTTTCTTCCTCTTTTCAGAATGAAACATGAATATGCAGAGAATAGATTTAAAATTCAGAAGGAAAATAGTTTTATAGCTAGAAATTGTTTTTGTTATGCCTAGGAAAATCTCTTCAGATAAGCTGCAGTTCTGTTTGCTTACACACATAACAAGACTACTTCTTTGTATTGTGATGAGCAGAAAACTGCTTTGCCTCCATCAATAGCTGACTGGTTAAAAAAGCTCTGAGCCTTTCAGCCCTATACATCCCTGAAAACAAAAGATACTTACCCATCACACCGCTTTACAGCGGAACAAGTGTACTGTAGGAAACAGGTAGTTTTCCTTAGTAGAGAAATAGCTAGGAAACTGACCTCTGTTAGACTACTAGCAGAGGTGGGTGGAAATATGGCCCAGAAGCAGTAAAGTCCATGAATTATTTTGGCATGCCACTCATGCCATGTGCTTTCCTGTGGTGCTCCCCAGATGTGGGCATCTATGTCCAGCCGTACCATGTGTTTATGTATTTGGTCATGTGAGCATTTAATTATGTACACAACCAGGATGAAACCTTTTTCCTTTAGTTCAATCCTCTTCTCTTGTTTCCTCAATTGCTTCCTGAATAGCTGTCACAACCATTACAGCTTTGAGGTAGCTGTCGTATCTTTTAGGATCTGATATGACAAATTTGATCACCTAATTTGACTTTGTGTATTAAGGCTTGTCTTAGCATCTCATCTGGTAATTCTTGAACCGCATAATTTCTTTTTAATTGATAGGATACTCTAGAGAGACACCTCTGTTTTAATTCATTACTACTTTTATCCCACTGAAACTCTGCAGCGCAGCCATATACTCTAGTATGTAATCTTGCTCAAGACAGCAAGTAGTGTTCATGATTCTCAATCCAGCAATCAACGTTGATTTGCACTTTATGTGTTTAATAAACACGACTTCCATAAGAGTTTCAGGTACATTTGTTTGGCTTTTGCAAAAACCCAGAGATTTGCAAGATGAATCTTTACTTTTCACTTAATACTGCTCGGATAGTGGTGGTGAACAGCAAAGGGACTTTTGAAATCTTGAATGGGAAAAGAATTAGGAAATAGATTTTGTATGTTAAATTTTTTGGAGTTATTACTTAAACAGCTTGTCTTTTTGAAAAAGTAGACTGTTAAGTAGTTCTGCTATTGTCTTGCAATTATTGGAAAGAAAAGATGGTCTCATGCTGACTCTTGAATCAGGACATGGGGTTGCTAAACATGCAGAGAATGTTGCAAGTTTGATTTACAGTTTTCAAATTTAAGAATGACATGATTATGCCGTTATTAATCTAGTGGAAAGAATCCCACCACATAAACTCTACATTTAAAAAGGAGTTTGGAAAATGACAATGCAAGCCTAATTAAACAAGAACAAATAAAATCAGCCTTTAATTTCTTACGCTTGGAAGTGAAAGTAATATTTTCTATTTAATGTTTGACTTTGATGTAAGAAAAGATGTTCCTATTAAGGAAGACAGAATATTTTCCCTCAAATTTTATAAGGAAAATCCCCATACGTTGTAAATTAAAACTGTTGATTTTTTTTTTTCATTTTCTTTCCACTGAAAGAAAAATCTCATAGTACAGCTTATATATAGGTATTTTTTGGTGTGCAGAAATTTCTGCCTTTTAATGTATAATTAAATGTATAATTTATATATATATATAACATATATATGTATATGTATGTTACATATTATATATACATATTATATTATATATACATATTATATATACATATAATAATGTACAGTAATTAAATTAATGTACTGCTTACGTTGTTTTAATTGCAGATAAGTTGTGTAATACTTAAGAACTTGGTGTACAAAGTAACGAAGTCATCTGTTTCCATTGCATGAATTTTTTTTTTTCCTATTTTTTAAACTATTGAAATAAATTTCAAGAAAGAAATTTATTAAATAGTCGAAAATGATTGAAATGTTCTCAGAGAATTAAGTATGTAATGTAGGATCTTACTGCAATGCAATTGCTTTTAATAAATAGCTAGTCATGTTGCAGGCTAGTGTCTGGTACCTTTGGTGAACAATGCAGAAGGAAAACAAATCTTTAAAATGTAGAAGAGTGTGTCTAGAGTTACTAAAGACAAAGAAATACTTTGAGGGCAGTTGGCCTGAAATGTTGCTTAGCTTCTCAAAATTAAAAGGTGAATTTAATTTTGTCTGCAAAAAATAAATGCTTTCATTGACAGTTGAATCTTCAGGGTGTTAGGGAAGAATTGACCGTGTGAAACACAGTTACATTGCACTGAATACATGTGACTGAAAATTTTTGGGTAAACTTCGGTAATATCAGTTGTGAATCTATTACAGGGAAGCAAGTAACATACCTAAATGAAGTTCATTTTTCTTTTGTCATGATATCTACAGCATGATGTCTGTCAGAATCTGCAAGTCTACTGGCATTGTCAGAAATTTAATGTTCTACTAATTGTTAATTACTATGCAAGGAAAAATGTCTCAAAGGATGAGCATGGTCAGCATGCTATGACCTTCATCAATCATACTAAAGGAATGTGAGGAATATTAAGGAATTACGTTTTGAACAATATCTAAGTACACTTTTTAGGTTACACAAGTCCTATAATAAAATACGTGAAAATAGCTTTTCAAAGCATCTTACTTAATTTTTGTAAGGCTTCTTTATAAAGCTCCAGTCGATGAGACCTAAACATGTGAATAATGTGCTTTCCATTGGAATTTTTGAGGGTATGTGTGCATGTATATGTCAGAGAATTAAAGATTGCTATAAAGGGTTGTTTAAAAGACTGGTAAATGAGGCCACTTTCAAAGATCAGAAAAATAATTTCTGGATTAACATGCATTAACAGTACATGTTGCCAGTGCTCAGTTTTCTAAATCATTATCACTACAAACACAGAATTGTTGGTCTTCAACATTGTGTTCTAAATGAGCAGTGAGCATGCAGTTGATGCTATATACAGCTGGTGCTGGAGGTCAGGGTGATCAGACTTGGTCTTGTTTCGGAAGATTCTGTCATGTTAAATTACAGCTTGTGAGCTTTTTTGTGACACTTTGCATTTTTCATTGTAGTGGAATTTCTGTGGAGCCATACAACAGAGAGCATGTGTGTAGGATACATGTCTGCACAGGATGGCAAAGCTAAGGTAAGACTTGAAGAACAGATTGTAATACAGTAAGAATGAGTGCAGAAGTTAAGGAGAATCTATATAGGAAATATGTTTTTAAAAAAAATTGTCTTGAAGAGAAGGAAAAAGTAATGGGTGCAGAAGAAATTCAGTGTATCTATGGCTGGAGCATTGTGATTCCCTTTTTTAATTACAGCAATTAACAATGATGTATGTATTATGTCAGTTTATATTTGAATAATTTTATCTGTCTGATTTGGTTATACTTATTGGATAGTACAGCATTTTTTTGTGGGCATGTCATTCTCCAAATACAGGAATTGAACCGCTAAGAACATAGGGAGAGGATACTAAAAAGAGGCTTTGAGCTAGTTCCTATAACTATTTCCCCTTTTTTTTTTTTTTTTTTTTTGAATGAAAATTGAAACTGAGTTTAGCTGTTGAAACTGGAAAAATCATAAACATCAAACAGTAGAGATTAACCAAGGAGGATAGGAGCAAAGTCTTCTTTGGAATACAGCACTGAATGGAGAAAAAAGGCAGGTACTACCATGTACCAATTAGAATATGTAAGAGAGATGTTTGGACAATGAGAATCATCGTGGGGGAAGCTGCAAATGGAGACATAATCATTTCCATAGTCATCTATAACGTATGACAATTTAAAGCTGAGAGTGGACAATCAGAACCAGTTAAAGGAAGTGACAAAAGTGGGGAAAGAGCCAGGGTAAAAGATGGCTCAGTGTTAAAGTAACGGCAGAGTTTGTGTATTTTCTGCAATACTTACATGTATTTAAATAGGAGATGACTGCCACGACTTTGATACCAGCAGATAAGAGTAAGAAAGGCTTCCAGATTTCTGAAGTGAGAATTTGAAGAAGGGTTAATTTTAAAGCCTGGAAGAGAGAAGAATTTGAGGTCCTCGATTTTGTTGGCTCTCTCCAGATGTAGGTACTTCTTGTGTCACTAGGGAGCAAAGTTTGGTCATTGGCAGTAAAGGAGAGAGGACTCTGAAACTCAAATCTTTCTCTGTTTTTGTTTGGCTTTTTGGGGGGCTAGGGGATGCTGTGTTTCATTTGAGATATAACTTTAATGGAGAATGTGAGTGAAATAATAATTACAGTAATAGAAAAAAATGTACAAAAAATTGACATCATAATTTTACACACCAGAAATGGTGTAACTGCTGGCTGGAGCATTGGGAACAGATGTCTGACTTGAGGAGTGAAAGGTAATTTCTTTTTTTTTTAATGTAAGAATGCCCCAGAAGGAGAATGAAGGTAAAAAGCTGGTAAAGGAAGTGTTGGTAGAGGTGTTAGTGAAGTATTCTCTTTCATTACGTATGTCAAGTTATTTCTAGTTGAATATAGTGTGTTCTCACTTATTCTCTTAATATTGGTTTTACATTTTATTGGAAAAGAATCCAAACTCAAAGACTGAACTAGACTGAACTAAGTAAAACTAATGCAAGCTGAGCTGTGGATGTTTTAGTATTCGGTAGTAAATTTAAAAGTTGTTATATTGTGTTCACAGTGGAAGAAGGAGAATTTCTAGAATGCACAGTGTTAGATTATCACAGTGTGCATACCTGCTTCTGGCTTACACTGGAAGGCTCAAAAGCTGCTTCTAAGGAAATGTTATTATTTCTTCCTGGTAGTGTCATTCTTATTAATTAATAAATGCTAAATGTGAAATCTATCTGGTAATGAGTACTAGCATGACAGTACCATGCCCAGAGATGTTTTCCTACTCACAGTTGCAACATTTGACATCTGGTGCACATTGTTTTCATACTGCTGGTAAATTCTCCAGCTGGTAATCTTGATTGTGCTGACAGACACAGCTGCTCCTCTTGGTTCACTTTTAAATTATGCTTTTGACCTTCATTGAAGAGTTAATCCCCCTCCCTTTCTTCCTCCTTTGAGTCTGTGGCCACAAATGCTTTCCAGAGAAAAACCACAAATGCTTTTGCTGCTGACTTCTATTGATCAAAAAAGTCTTCTGTCATAAAAGCTGGAATTTTTGTTCTGCTACAACTAGGGCTAAGTTATAGATGGAAAACTGAGTTTGAAATAGAACACAATGTAATGTAAGTTAAAGAAATATATATATAATCTTTTTTCTCTAATAGAGTAACTGCTTTGGTACAGTTAATGTTGAGTGCTTGCTGTGGAAAAAAAATAATGGTATAAAAATAGAAGTGTAAGATACCACTTGCTTGTGAGTACCATAGCAAAATCATCAGACAGCAGTTTGCACAGAAACATGTTGCTTTCCTATTTTTCTATGGAGGTAAGGAACTCCAGCTTTCGTTTCTTTCATCAGTCAAGTACTCAAGTTTTATTCTGCATCCACTGTTAAGAATTAGGATCATAATTATGTAAAGGGATACACACTAAACAAGAGAGGTCCTCTTTTTGTCTGGGTGTGTTTCTTTGCTGTATTGGAGACTAATGCACTGTAACTAGCAGCTGGTTGTTATGAATCCAGTGCTAAGATTGTGGAGATATCAGGAGCTTTTGTTGCAAGGCAGACTCACTCTGACCAGCTAAATACCAGCTCACCTACAGAATCTAGTGTGCTCAAGAGATGGAAACATACTCAACCAACTAACTACCAGTAATGCCTTAAAAGCAAAGTGAGAAAGGAAAGTAGAATCAGAGACTGAAAACCATATACCGTAACCTGATGGTGCTTCTGGCTTCTAGCATTGTGAGCTCTCCAAGTACTGATCAGTAGTCAGCCTTGCAACAAGGCTGTGTTTCTTTTTGATTAGGCATGACACAGCTGGCCAGTCATCTGCAGATAAGACTGCACGTGTGCTTTCTAGCCAGTCTGAATGCAAAATATGGCTGGGCCTGCAAGAGCTGTAGAACAGTTTTGCACTCTGACTAGTAACTGATTTAAAGCATACTTTCTGGAAATATGTCCAGTGGGTTGGTTGGTTGGTTTGTTTTTGGAAAACCAGTTGCCTGAAAAAATCAGTTTTCTGTTGAGCGTTGTTTTAAAGTGTTGGTTGAAAGTTCTCGTTCTTTAAAAATAGCGTGGAGGCTTCCCAGATGAACTAAGTTCACACTTTTTTTGCTAATGCAGTCAACTCTGATTGTGTGTCCTATTACTTGTTTTTGGCTCTCTCTCAGTGCTGAAAGTGGATATAAAATGGATAACACTGAACATCTTCACTACTTGCCTAGTGGATATCTCACTTTCTTCAGGTTCTTGTGCCCTTGGGTCCTTACATCATTGCCAGAAGTAACTGCTTGAAGCATTTATCGTTGTATTCTTTATTTTTTGCCATCTCTTTTGACACTAGCAGTTTAATGATTACTTGGTGCCAGTGTTCACAGACTGGATGTGGAAGGAAACAAATGTTTTATCTGAACAACTGTAACTTTTTAAAGACGCTTCTTGGTACTGACCTGTACTGCCTCTTGCTACAGCTTTATCCCAGCTGGAACCTGGAACCCTCAGCTGTGGTGAACTTAAGGGACAGTTGTAGCAGTTGCCCTCCCCAGTCTTTCTTTGTGAAGCAGTACTGTGGCACATCACTTCAGTGTTAGTCCTGTTCACTAGGAACACGACTGGACCTCCTGAGGTCTCCTGAAGCAAGTTCTTTCACTGACGTTTGTGTCACATAATCTGACACTCTACTATTTCTAGCCATTTAATGGGACTGTTGAATGTTTTAGGCCACTGTGGAACTTTCTGGCCGTAGCCATGAGAAAAGATAAAAAATAATAGTCTGTGGGTTTCCTCTGCACTTACCTAGCTCCTTTTGTAGCGGTAACTGCTGCATCAGCAAAAGTTATCTTCTAGATTGAAGGCCTGAAAGTTTGAACATTGTTATGACTTGGAGAGGTAGATGTATTCCTTTCTGTTTTTGTGGCGCTGATCGTGAATTACTTGATATAAATTTGAGATCTTTTATAATCTGTTAACTCTTTTACCCAAACTTTCTTCTCTTTCTGAGACTCTAGTCTTCAAAATAACCTTACAGATATTTTTTATGAATCTGCAATAGATCCAAGCAGATCATTGTGCCAACTAAAAAGGTTGCCCAAGCTCTTTAAAGATACTGTAGCAGCTTTGCATGAAGGGCTTTGAGACCTTTTGCCATGTAATGAGGAGAAATAGACTACTCCTTGAATTCACAGTACTGTGATATGAGATGTACATGCAGAACCGAAGGAAAGGAGATTTGTGGATAGATTACAAGTTGATGGACTTCTGAGTTGCAGTCTCTGTATCTTCTTGTTCTTTGTCTGCTAAGCTCAACTGAGGATGGTGCAAAGAAAAAGAGGTTCCTCAATCTCAGATAACAGTGTAAATGCACGCCTGCAATGTAAGTGCACGTATAAACTATCTCTTGAAATTTTCAAATAGAGAAACTATCTCTTGAAATCTTCTGTTTGGTGGCAGGCAATCTTCATTTGATTTTTTCACTGTGTATTTTTGCATAATCAAGCAGAAGTCCTTTTAGTTCTGACAGGGTCTTCAGAGTATTTGCTTGCTTGGAGCTCACCACATTTTGTGTGCAAAAAGTAAAAGGTGTCAGGATGTACCAGAGAACTTAAGTTTTTCTGGACCTCCCCAAGTTTTTGTATTATCTTAGTTATTTAGAATAGCTGATGGTGAATGATATTTTTACTTGTAAACAGGACTTCCTTGCTATGTTTTCAATAGTGTTTTAAGGATGAGTGCCTTCACTGAGTGAAAAATCTAATCTTAATACCAACAATGGGCAGTTTTGGTCCTGTGTTATCTATATTTGAAGTAATTTGTCAGCTTAGTATGGTTCTTAGTAGATATGCACAGGTCACATATTAAAATGTATAGATGCTGTTTACTCTTGCTATTATTACAAATTCTGCAATAATTTTGAGGTATCATTGTAATTCAGCTATATAAGTTTTATTTTTTCTAAAAGCCAGATGACCTAGACAACTAATTTCTAAAAATCTGGATGTGATGCTTAATGTAATCCAGATTCATTTGCCAGTGTAAATCTTTGGCACATATGCAGTTCATGAATTAATAAATTGTATAATGCAGGTTTTCATACTGCAAGATTATATATGCCATTCTTTCAGTTTTCTAGTAAACCAAATTCAAGTTGCTTTGCCAGATGAGGGGAACAGTAGTGAGGAGTATCATGCTGTCTTTGAAAACATCCATCAGCAACAGCTCCTGTATTCACCAAATGTTGTGGTTGTAATATGTAAAAGAAATTTTATGTTTGACAGCTAATTTCATGTTTCAATATGAAGAAACAAATGGACAGGGAGATCATTTCCAATTCACTCTTCCTGTTGAGGTTACGTGTTATAATCAGATTTGCTCAACTTCGTTAACTCTGTAAAGTTTAGCAAAATTATTTTCCTCTATGTTTAAAGTCATACATATGACAAACACTGATTGTAGTGACTGTTGTGAGTTTTCTGATAATGAGCATCTGTATTTTATTCTGCGAGTAAAAGGTTTGAGAGCCCTTTTTGTGGAGGAAGGCAGCCAGCCAGTGCTCACTGGGTGAAGAAACACATACTGGAAGAATCCAAATTCTAATTTGAAAATTAGTGGAAAAAATTAACAAGCCTGGTTAGTTAACAGAAATACTAATTCAAAAAGTTTAGTCATTCATTTCAGACTACAGACTTCATGAGAGAGGAAATGTATATGTCACTGTTACACTTTTTTTTTTTCCCCTTAATCTTCACTCTTGTCTGGAGACAGGGGAATCATTCAGAGGTTCTTACTTGAAAATAACTTTTCACATACAGCAGGACATCCAGTTCTCTCACAAAAATAAGATATTTATACTTGCTGGAAAAAACCTTCAGTGCTGAGATACCAATTAAAATATTGGGCATGTAGACCATCATGGAAATTATGGGCTTTGAGATGGGAAGATAAGTTCAATGTTTTTGGTTGAGTTCTTTCATGAAGCCAAAAGTTCTGGAACTTTCTTTGTATTTGACTGTCATATCTTAGGATGGAGCAGAGTAGATGATTTTATATATTTAGGTATGCAAATATAAATATAACAAGCTGACTTAGCACCTGCAGTTCACATCAGTAAAAATCCCATTTTAAACCATATGGCACTATTTTAGAATATCTCTACAATAGCCAGGAGTGGTGAACTGATTAGACCACTAGTTGGTACATAGCTTCAGATAAAATACTTGTATGAATCATATGAAGAGGTTAAAATGCTTTGGTTTTCAACTTTCTGAACTGCCGTTGTTTTCTAAGGCATTATAGTATGAAGTTTATAGATGCACAAATTGTGTGAAATAATACATTTGATCCATGGGATGAATTTGAGCTAGGAAATCTGTTAGCTTCCAAAACAATCTGTGTGCAGACCTATGAGTGATTCTGAGATTCTAAACAGTCTATGGATTTGGTATTCCTTTTGTTTAAGGAGTAAAGTGATTGAAAGTGATTTAATTAAGTATTTAAATTTCTCTGAAAGTAATGCCTCCTATGTATTTTCATGGAAACTATGATGGATAGAGCTCAGTAGTACTACTTAATAGAGCAAATGCTCAGCTACAAGATGCTATTTTTCAACACAGACTCTATGAGCTCTGCATTTTTTCTAGCTATGAACAAGAGCCTGCGTTCTGCTCTTGTAAAGATATGCACCAGCAGAGGTGATCCTTCACTTCTGTGTCACCACTGCTGAAATGCACCACCTCACTGTGCTCACATTCACTGTTTGCTGTCCGTAAACATTCAGCAAGCATTGAAGAATGCCAGTGGGTGCCATTTTTTCTGCATGGAGGAATTCAGTTCCACGCCTTTGCTTCATACGTGCTTCCATGTCAGGCACCATTCTGTCTCACTGCCCCTCTGCTGCCATCCTTGCACAGTAACAGGATATTGGTGGGAAGGTTCAGCTTCTACTGCCGTCTCACCAACATCCACCTCTGACGCTGTGGGCCATCATAATTAAATACGAGGCATTACTTTTGGACCAGCCCTTATACATGACCTCCTCAGTCTCTGTTTCATTATATTTCATCTCAATAGTGTAATGAACGGAAAAAGTTTATTTTATAAATTATTCCATCCAAAGCACATCCCGAGCATGTAATAAGAAAACTAAACACATGAAGTACTCCCTTGACTTGCTTAAGAGCTGAATGTGCTGCCATCTGGTAGTTGTACTCTGTTCTCTTGGCAGCATTTGATTGCCTTCAGTTTTCTCATGCAGAGTTGTCTGTCTTTTGGCTTATGTATTATATTAATTCTACACTGTATGTATGCTTTTAATGGAAAAAAAAAAAAAAAAAAGAAGCTGTTGTAACAAACTAATGTGAATAAAAGGAGAAAACTAGGTCTTTAACCACTGAAGGAGAGAAATTTTTGATATTAGTTGGCCTTGAATATGTTTCAGACACTTTATTTGAGAGACATGAAGTAAAGTAATTCTTGGCATAACTTGTAGTATTTTTTAAAAATTATACAAAATATATGTAACTTAAAAAATTGATCAAATGTTCTTGATGAAAAGATGAAATCATATATTGTCCCTGTAGCAGTTAACACTTATTCCAAGGCAGGATGACTGATTAGTTTTGGACTTACTGGGCAATGGGAAGCTTTCCAGCCTGCATCAAAAGGAACTGAGAGACAGTAACTTTCAGCAGGCAGTGTCTGTAGAAGCAGGGCTGAGGGATTTAGTTGCTCCACCATTTTATTTTAGTTAGATGGAAAAGAGGGACTAATTTTTTTATTTAGTTTTATTTAGTTTTTTGATGGCAAGTCCACACACGCCAAGAATCGGTATCTGATGGCTTCCTAGTTTGGTTGAGCTGTATAGGTGGGGGGGAAAAAATCAAGTACTTAATCTAGCATTTGTCTTCTCTGCTTCTACAAGGCCCTCACTAACCTCGCTTTTTTCCCTGGAGACACAAATCAAAACACTTTCTCAGGGACAGTAAAATTTCTGTTTATGGAGCCAAAGATCTGGATAGCCTTGTCATTCTTGACCTACCTTTCCTCAACATGCTCCTTTTTCCTCAAGGAGAGGCTTCCTTGAAGCTCGATGGAGGATTCGTTCTGAAAAAAAATTCTTCTTTTCTTATTTTTGTTCAATTTTCTCCAGATGTGGGCTCATTCAGATTGTAAAGCTGATGTATTAATCAAATTCAACCAAAAGCTTTCCAATGTTTCTCTTTTTTGTTTCTCTGTTGTTGTATTTTAAAATATATTCTTATATTTTCAGTCTTAGTCTAATACATTGTGCAATCTGGTCTTAATGTAAAATATGATGTTGGGGGTATTGAAATATAACAAACATTACAAATAAGTTCTGTGGTTGCATTTTAAATGTCTTCAGTGTTCTTTGAAGTTTATTTTTATTTACTCAAGTTCATTCTTATGGCTAGGAACAAAGGAGATATAATTGTAAGAATGCACTTGGAAGTTAATCTGAATTTGTCTTGACATGTTAATTTTATCCTTTGATACTACTTATTAATTAACAAATTTTAAATACTGTCATCTCCTATCTGGACTTTGCACTACGTACGACAGACAATAGTGAAAGTAAAAAGTCAGTGTAAAACAGTGTCTGTGTTTGCTTGGTCATACAAAGTATGCAAATAAAAAGGTTCAGTTAAAGGCTTTAAGAAAGACTTTGTTATGTGGCTTGGATGTTTCTGTAAATGGAAGTGTACATGTGCTACTATATGGTGCTGGACTTTTTGTTTTTATCTCTTTATAGATGATAACTCATTTTTCCTTCTACACGAAATATGTTTTTGTATAGGAAACATGCTTTGGACATCTATTTAAATGTAGGTACTTGATAATGCACTGATAGACATTAAATATCTGTTTTTCCTCTCTTGGATTTTTTTCCTTTCCTTGCTCAAGATCTTACTGAGATATTATGCATATCTAACTTCAAAAAATTACTAGGCGTTTAACTTTGGCTTGTGGGTTAAGTCAAGCCCGAGCAAAAAATGAATTAATAATACTAGAATCGTAGAATATCCCGAGTTGGAAGAGACCCATAAGGATCATCGAGTCCAACCATTTTGGTGAAAAAGCTAATTTACACAAAGTAAGATCTGTTGTAGTTATAATGGAAAAAATTAATTATAAGATTGGTGATAATCCCACTAGTGCTAATATTTCTTCTGTTTTGGTAGTGTTTTCTTGTTATGCCTCTTGACCCCATCTTTGTGCCTCTGCGCTTTTTGTTGCTCCGATGCTGTGTTCTGCTAATAATTCTGATAGATCACTGTGTAAGCAATCTCACTTACAAATGATGCTTGATTTTGTCTGGACCACAGGTTTGCTTTGATTGCGGAATCTCGCTGAACAATCCGTGGCATTTGTCTGCTGAGGAAAGATGGCTGTGGTGCCCCTGGAATAATGTTGTTTTTACACTTTCATCCTATCCCACGTTTCATTTAGAAATGTTCATAGGCCTGGAAAAATGTCTTCAGTCCTTTGGCCTTAAGAATCAAAAATACCCTTCTTTTATTTGTCTTTCTTTATCTCTCTCTCTGTTTTTTGTTTTGTTTTGTTTTAACTTATGAGAAAATATCTTAAAAATTATAAAGTTGCCAATTACCTTTAAGAGAAGCTAAGGGATTTGAAAAGATCTTTTTTTTTTCTTGAAATAGTAAATAAATACCAAAATTTTTCCGAAAGGAGGAAGATGTTCATATATCAAGCACAAAGGCCACAGCTCAATGTTTAGCAGTAAAATGAAAACCTTTAAATATTTTTAATTGAATATCATTCTGTAATTTAACTGAAAACGTGACCACCTACGAGCAGAAACCAGGATACCCTTATCAAGAAGGGAATTGAAAGAAGTTGTATCTAAGAGGCGAAACCTCTCTGGGGTGCAATGGATTGTGGTTACAGTATCAAATATCTTTCTGTTCAGTTGATGCAAGTTACACTTGTGGGACTTTTAACATCACAGAATCATAAAATGGTTTGGGTTGGAAGTGGGTTCTTGAAGGACATTTCCTCCAACTCCCTTACAGCCCATTGCCTTGTTGCTTGTTATACATTTTTCACCACTTAAACCATTTAAATGGAATAATGTACATACAAAAACGTAAATATGTTTGACTGTGCTTAGAGAAAGCTGTAATTTCTCACAGCAGTAACTTTGCTGTTGTGAGCTTTGTATCATAGCAGGAATCATTCTTCCTAATTTATTAATTGCTTAAGCATCAAGTTGTTGGAGCATCACCTGATGAAATGCATAACTTGTGCTCCTGCTTCAGTGAGAGGGGTGGCTGCAGCATAGCTTGAGCTGGTGACACCATTTGCCTCAAACCCAGATAAATGCCATTTTCAGCCCTACTGCATTTTAGAGTTTCATAAGGCTCTTTTTTATGTTTTACCAGAACCCATTCAGCAGCTCTGAAACTTGGAAGCAACAAAGTTTGTAGAAACATGCTTCTGAGTCTTTTCGCTGCCTTGGTTAAACATTGATTTAGCCTTGGCCTATATTAAAACAACCAATATATCTGAAAATGTCTCTGCTTAGCTCAAAATTAACAGTGCATATGAAAACATAAGCAAGTTTTCTCCCTGGAAAATGCAGAAGTGTTTTGACAGAAACACAATTGGTTTTGGGGCACTCTTTTATATATATTTTCATCATTGCAGTTGCCATGTACTGTGAAGTATGAGTTCATCTCTGACAAATATTTTTTTTCTAGAATTTCTCTAAAGCATACTTTTGTATTCAGTGCTGATTTTCTTTGCATCTTCCTCAGGAATGGGCTAATAAACATGGAATTTCAGTTATTTTTCTTTTGTTTTGATGCAGAATAATTCTTTCTTCTATTTTCGGTGAACTGAGTCATTCAGTTTACTTTTTCTACACATCTGTCATGGTCATTCTCTTCATGTGTTAAACGCTAAGACAAACAAAATGCAAAAGAATCCAAATTGTTTACAGCTTTTCTAGTTTCTTTGTCATTTGTCCTTTGGACTGCAGTCATTGAACAGGTGAATTGTTCAATTCTTGCAAGCTTGTTCTGTGTCCTGCATAATTTTGTGTCTCATCATACTTGGTAACACTTTCTTGACTTTTCCACAGACTCACATTTCAAGACTTCCTCCTGGAGCGGTGGCAGGACAGTCCGTAGCAATAGAAGGAGGAGTTTGCCGACTGGAGAGCCCAGAAAGCTGAACAGCTGATTCCTCACTTCATTGCAAAGAATGTGAATGACGTTTTCTACAATAAGTTTTTTTTGTATGTCTTAACAAATGTTGGAAATTCTACCCTTGCTTTATACACCATATTGCCACCATGTGCTCCATAACTTGAGACAAGTGCTGCTGTAGTTTATGTTCTCACTCTGTGAATGGGAGTGTGTGCATGTTCACTTTTTCCCTGATAAAATAGGACCTCTTCCCAGTTGTACAAAGATTATATATGATTAGCGATTACGTTCTCATTGTTTTATGTTTGAGAAATATCTGAAAGTTAAAACAAAATAATAATTTAAATATGTGGTCACAATTGTCATTCATGTTCTAAATTTAAAAGGAACAGGCCTTTGAAGTGGATGTATAAGTATGCAAAAACGATTATGGTTTCAAAGTTTCTCAGTGGTTTAAGGAAATCCAGTGGTGGTTTAAACATGGATTGCTTTTTTTCCTCCCCAATAAGGAGGAATTTTTTTTGTCAAAGAATGGTTTCAGTGAAACAAACTAGAGCAAAATTAAGGCTAGAATTGTTCTAAATAATCTTATAAGTCATATCTCTGTTTCCAAACTAAGATGTTAATAGCTTCAAGCTGTATCTATTACAAAATGCTATATGAAGATAATGTATCGTAATAATGCAGTCTTTATGTATAATGGAATATTACAATGTAAATAAGAAAACAAAGTTTATGGAAAGATTCAATATTATTCTTTGCTTCTGTTTTAAATCTATTTTTAAGAGAGGTACAGAAATGAGCATATTACTGGATGCAAAGTGCAATGTGTATTGAATGGATGCTGGGAATTCTGATACTAGCTTTCTTACAGATAAAGCAACTTCCTAAAGTCCAGCCACAGCATGGGTATTTATGTAACTGTGTGTAATATATATGTACTGTGCATAAATTTACTGTAATTTTTTACACCTTCAACAAAACTGCAGTATGAAACAGTGTAAAGCTTGTCTGCCTTGTGAAGCGTTGGCAGCTGAACTGTCTTTTGTCACCAGTTCTGATATGTTAGCCAGATCGCCCGTGTCCTAAAAGTGACTTCTCACATACAATCTTCCACTCAGTACTTCTTTCTTTACAGCACTGGCAGCAATAGAAGACTTTTGTAATTAATTCATTGTCATGATAAGTATGCCAAAGAAAAATTAAATTAGTTCATCTTTTTCCCTGGTGGATATTTGATAATTCTGTTTTCAGAAATAGTGGATGAATAGGTATTCAGACTGTATTTGCTTAATTGGGCATTGTACTATCCTCTTTTGTAATGTTGTGCCTGCCTATAACAGACCTACTCGACTGCTGATTAAATGGTTGCATTGATTGTAGTACCAATGTTTCATGGATAAAAATCTTAATACATTATTTTAGTAGCCTGAATTCATTTTCACTCTTATGTTAAATAATACACTGAGATATGTTCTTATTTGTCTGTTTTGTTTTTCTTTTTAATCATGACATCAGTGTAATCCTATAGTTCAAGATATTTCTATGAATTCTTGTAGATGATATGAAACAAGCTTTTCAGGTTGAGAAACCAAAAAATGGAATGCATCTGTCTAAAGTAGTTTGTGCTAAGATGTCCATCTGCATCCTTGGAGGTACAGCCAGAGTCTGGTCTGATAGAGTGAAAGAGTGTAGTGGTTTACACAAGTTAAGGTTTGGCAGTGCAGAATACAGCACTTCAGAAATGTTCTAACAATGAAGTTTAGTTGTCAGAGCCATTGAAATTTCTCTAATGTATAACATTAAGTGATTGTGTGGGTGCTGCACTGTATAATGTGTGAAGAACAGTTATAATTCTTGTGAGTTTGTGTACCCATATTTGAAAATGGCATATTTTTTGCAGAAGTTAAAGTGATGGAGATAACCATTCAAGTGCTTTTCAGTATTGCCTTTGTAGAAACATTGGCATAAATTCACTTCTATGTAACAAGGAATGCAGAAGGGCTTGTGCAATGTGTAAATTGATAAGTTGTTTCTTCCACTTACTTGCTTAATGTCTTGTTATGGAGACCTGGATACCAATTTATGATCTTTTTCCCATGTACTATCTCAGAATTTTATTTCTGTGTGTATTCGTACATATGCATATGTAGGTATATATATATGTGTATATATATCTATAATCATAACTCAAAAATCAGTGTGCTTAGCTTTTCTTTTGCTTTCATTTCTATGTAATATTCCAATCAATTACTTCCTAAGCAACTTTTATGGAAAAAAGCCAGGCTTCTTTGTGGAATTATGCAGGTGTTATTGCTTGAACTTGAGCTGTGTCTTTTTTCATTGTCCAACTTTTCCTTCTGTCAGACTACAGGAAAAAGATATTTTTGTCCTGAGAATCACAAGAAAGGTACAGAGCACAGACCAGGTACAGAGCTGACTTTATACCTTTGATACTCATGAGAAGAAAACTATCTTAGGACATTTGCATTTCTGTATCAGTAATCATGAAGACTGGCAGGAGCACAGCTTCCTATCATCCTACTCCCACTTCAGCCAATGAGAGCTCTTAAGCTACCTTAATTGTGGGTCTAATTCTGCTTCCAGGTCTATTTTGTACTTCAAAAGGGCATAATGAAAAGTAAGTGGTGAGGATAGACACTTAGCAATGAAGTGATCTGTAAACTCTTGTACGTGACAAGTAACCATTGCCACTGGCACAAACAGATACAGTCCAAGAGGAAATTACACAGTTGGTGGCAGTAGCTGTCTAAAATTATAAAGGAAGGATAACCAGATGAAAAACATATAAATACAAACAATTTGAATACTCTTGATTTTGTACTCAAACACACAATTACATGTCCTTGGTTATTTTGTAGCAGACAAGTTGGTGCCAGAGTAGTCACTAATCTGTTATAATAAATTTTACTTCTAAAAGCTTGTAATAGCCTCTCACAGTAAAGTGTAGTAGTGATTTGAATTCCACTTTGTGTATTCTGTAGGTACGAAGAGTGTGTTTCTCTGCTTACGAACTGATCTCTAGAAAGGGTGTGAGATGAAAGTGATTTGACTGGCAAGGAAGTGGGAGCCCAGTTCACTGAAATTGTAAAGGCTGATATGGGAGATGCTGTGGATGAAGAAGGAGGAAGCGAGGACAGTTAAAAAATATCAAGGGTATTAACAAGGCTGTGGTAACCGCTGTTGTTAACTAAAATGTAAGTTAATAGCAGAGTCTGGATAAGGAGTCCGAAACCACTCGTTATTATGGTATTAGAAGTGGAATAGGTGCAGCCACCATAGTTTCTAATGGCCCTATAGATAGCACAACTGATAAATAAAAGCTGTTTTCTTTTTGCTCCTTTTTAAATTTTATTTATTTATTTATTCAAAACAGAAAACTGTAGGAGGTTGGAGGCTGTTCTGCTCTAATAGCCCTATGCTTGATCATTTGCTCCATTACAGGATAGTACAGAGTTAAGGAGTGGTTTTATTGTCTAAGGACCAGTAGTGATGCAGTATTCATCATTCATTCACCGAACCTGGGCAATAAATCCCCATAAAAATTAGCTAGATCTCTTAATAGTGATTTGAGCCCAATAAACATCTATCATGTGCCTAAGCAAACCATATGAAATGGTGAACATGAAAGCAACAGCCATGGTGAGACTTGCTTTCCTATGGTATCTTGACCACAACACCTCTGATTGCCTCATAAGTCTTTTGTGTGATGGGAATGCAGTACATGTATTTTACCTCCTATGCCCTGTGCTCTTTTACTAACTTTTAAGTTCACCATTCCTTGCAAGGTTATGCTCTCCTTTCTGTGCTCCCCATCCCAATACAGTAGTACCAGCTGACCAGACTCCTCAGTTTCCAGATGCTGCAATACCTTTAGCCAACTCTCCTGCCCCCAGTGTCAACATGCATTACTGTACGAGAGAGCACACATGTTGTGGTGGGTTAAGTAGCTCCTGGATCTTGGCTGCTGGTTTCAAGGATGAGAGTAACTCCTAGGATGCAGGTTGTGCAGGCGTGTAGGCAATGAGTAGCTGTGGTCCTCTTCAGATTTGTAGAAATTAGCCAAGGAAGGCAGGAAGTCCTCAGATACTACAGATAGCATGAGTCTGTAAGCGTGGTTTCCAGGCTAAAAGAGTTTGAAGTATCTGCTTTATCTTGCTTCTTAAATAGCATATGAGAAGCTTGAGACAAACCAACCTGCACCAAAAGCTACTATGATCACCAGTCCCTTGGGGGTGATGTGGAAGGGCAGGTTCCAACTAGCCTGCGGAGAAGACAGTACAAATGCTCAGCTGGAGTTTGTATAAACCTGCAGAGGACTATGGGTGGCATGTCCTTGTGTGGTTAACCCCCGTCAGACTCTGCAGTGTTGGACACACTTGGCTGTTGCTGTGCACACGGTGCAGGAGTGTATCATCCAGGCAGACTAACAGAAGAGCTCTGCAGCTTGTGCAGAGGTGCATCTCCCCACCCCTTTGGGATTCTGTCAGTCAATTACAATATATTGTAATAGATATTTAGGCTAGTGTTGCCCACTGTATTACATTCCATCACACTGGTGTAAATATCCATGTACTTATATAGAAAGAAGCTACCTCAGCTCTGAAACCAAAGGCCTTGTGAAGTTGCTAAAATGCAATTCTCAGAAAGCACTAGTTGAAGGCAAATGTTTGAAATGAGATCGTGTCTCCAGTGAAGTCATTAGGAGCTCAGCCATCAGCTTTGGCAGAGCCAGGACGTCAGTCTTTGAAGTGTTTCTCTCGGAGGAGTCGAACATTATAAGTCCCTTAACGCTAACGCTGGAGACTTCAGAAATGAGATTGAGCAAGGTATTTGGATGACTGATGGTTGTTTTTCTGGATTATCTGGGAATATCTAGTGGGTGTGCAGAGTTTGAGAAGTGAGGTGAAAGAATCAACGTGCAGTCTTTCCTTCAAACAATTGGAAGTCCCGCTATAACTTTGCTGCAGATGGAGCTCTTTGCTAGCCAAGGACTTTCAGCACTTTTTTATAATTTAAATATTTTTTTGTAAAGGGGATAATTTTTACAATTCTTGCTTCCCTTTAGAGGTATTGGAGTAGTATGGGATACACTGTGTGCTACAGCACAAACATCAGCAAGGATTTGGTTTTGCTTTATCCAGCTTACCAGTGGCAAAACCACCATTTTCAGGGTGAAGTGCCAAAAACCACCATGCTTGCCTGGATTGTAAAGTCTGTGCTTACTACCGCTGAAATAGAAATGTTGTTAGACATTTTGGGTCACTTCCGGAAAGTTCCAAGGGCGCCATCTTGGGTGAGATGCTTCCCTCAGCAGCGCTCAGAGAAGCACAAAATGGCGCCAAGCAGCAAGGCGTGTGGTGAGGGAGATGGGGTGCTCCAGGCACGGGGAGCTGCAGCCTGCGAGAAGGACCCACGTGGAGCTGGGTAAGTGTGGAGAAGAAGCAGGCTGAGGGAAGCTGCTGTTCTTACTAGCAAACATATTTTCACTGCCCACATGTTATTAAGCCTTTTACCCAAGTCTGTGTCGCTGGTCATGGTGCTTGGTAAGTGATCTCCGCCTCCTAATTTCATCTGAATTTCCATCCCTGCTGAGGGAAAGTGAGAAACAAAGCAGTGCGCTGCACATGCATATTGCACCTAGAACTTTCTCAGGGCCAAATCCTGAAAAGTTTTGCAGGTGAGCATTTCTTGTGGTAGCTCAGTTTTCTCTTGGATCAGTGAGCTGCATTTTGGGCCTGGCAGCTGCGGGCTTGGCAGGTTGCAAGAAGGTGGGATAACCCTTTTATTGTTAAATTAGTTACAGAGTGAAGCTGCCCTCTCTTTGTGCTCACTGTGATTAGCACTTCTGTTGGATATAGCTCTTATTTTGTTCCAGTCCTTCTCAGGGAGTCACTGCTACAATGCACTGCAAATTTTGTTGGGGAAAAATAAAATTGACATGTTCGTAAAATCACATTCTTTGCCTGATTTTGCAAGAATTGAGTCTAGTGAAGTGCAGTTCTCAATCCGATGAAGAAACTGTTTCTGAAGTTTGGATTCTAATCCTTTCCAAAGGCGGTGAACTCCTGTGGGGAGATAAGAGCATGCCAGGTCCTGAGGTAATTAACGGTCAGCGTTGTGACATGAAGACCTTTGAAAGCAATGATGTGCATGTCTGAGGAGGGGAGGGAGATGGTTTGAAACCCCATGCTTAGTGTATTAATGCATTGTGTAATTTCTGTGAAAGAAAACTAGCTAACCAGAAGAAAATGCCAGGCACAGCAGAGCAGGCTTTATGATACATGATTTGAAATGAAGTTACAATTAGAAAGCTGTAAATCACTTCGTTCTCCAGGGAGGAGAACGGAAGGATAGAAAAAGCATCATTCTTAGGTGTACTCTTTGCACATCACATGAACTTTTTCAGGTAA